TTTCTTTCTTTCTTTCTTTCTTTCTTTCTTTCTTTCTTTCTTCCCTTTTTTTCCCCCCCTGCCTTGTTTTTTGTTCTTTTTGTCTTCTCTGTGTTTTGATTTTTTCTTTTCCTACTGGTGTGGGCATGTGTTGTTTAAGTAACAAAATAAAAAAAAATTAATAAAAAAAAAGAAACAACCCCCCCTCCTATCCCCGTTTCCTGCTGCAAGCATATATCTGGGAAGGAAGCATGGATAATTCTTTCCTTCTAATGGTCATAAGAGTATTGACGAAAATAGTAGGGTGGTTTCAGAGTCTACCTTCACAGGTCTGCTAATAAACACGTGCTACTTATCTGATATTCTTTATAACATTTGATATTCCCAACAGGAGACTCACATCTTGAGGCTTCAGGATGTAGCTATTGTAAATATCTTAAAACCATTTCCCAGGTGAAAGATATTGCTTTATTTTCTGATTAGAGGAGAACATTGTACATTAAAACATATGCATCACACATTCCCAATCGTCGTTAGGAACATGTTGTTTATGAAGGCCACAAAAGACCCTAAGAAATCTATCCTATTACATAAAAGAAGAGTGCCACAACCATAACAATTTATTTATTTAATTTTCCATTTCTGAATCACCCGTCTTCCTCAAAGAGGGTGGTATGCAATGAACAATAATATCAGAAAAGTAGTCTAGGCTTTTAAATTAGTCTGGTTTTAAATTTGTTCTGATGCTTTCTTGGTGGTTGTTGTTATTAATTAAATGTATAGTGTATGCTGCCTGACTCTCAATGATTTGGAGGGGGTGGATATAAATAAAAGTATTTTAAAAAATGACAGTGATAGACAAAAATGAGGAGTGAAGATGGAAAGAGTGATCAACCCCCCCCCAAAAAAACCGCCAGATGAGAATGAAGAACAAATTTACATAGTCCAAAGGAGGCTTCAATAACTCTCATCAAGGGTTTGATGAGGGTGAAGAGCAGGGGTGGGTTTCAACCGGTTCGCGGCGGTCCCTGCGAACCGGTTGGTCGGCGAATCTGGAAGTTAGTAACTTCCAGGAACGGCGAAGGGCCCACCCACCCGCCCGCGCTCCTTACCCGGTTTTGA